TTCCTCCCTTTTACCTTTTGGTTCAGATCTGGTTTGATTATTGTTCAAGTAATATCCTTGAATATGGTATTCTAAATTTAGGGAATACGATTCCCAGTTGGAAGAAGGTAGGAAATTTTTGAAATTCGCCCACCCATTCCGCAACCTTTTTGGCGTCCATTAGATGGATCCTACCATTCTTTCACCGGTTACTAGGATCCAATTCGGTATCAACCCATTCAATTTGTAAGGTTAATTTGCTATATTAACAAGGTCAGTTTGTTGTATTAATGAATTTATCCCATGTCATACAGGAATCCATTTTTGTTCAGTTTATTAAATCAATTCATTGCAAAGAAAAATAATAGGTCCTCTATTATAGATATAGATGAAAGATTAAATTTCACAAAAATCCTTCCCTTGTGTGTTTTCTCATGCCATAAATTTAGCTTTGATTCAGGTAACTTGATTTGTAGTCAGCACAATGAATCCGGCAACCATAGTTCAACCTACTGTTGTTGGAGAAAAAACCGAACTCTTTTCTACCCAGGGTTCAGGATTAACCGAGATAAAGTTAGAGATATAACATCAAACTTACTTTTAGAATGAGTCGGAAGAGTTTAATTAACTAGATCGAATTACAACTTTATTAAGATCCGAACCGTAAAGCAAAACAAAAATCCAAAAATAAAAATAAAACATAAACTTCCTTGTTAAGTCACCACGACAATTCAGAAACAAATCTTCCTTGTTATCATTACACTCCACCAGTAATTTTAGCCCTCACAAGATCAGTACAGATTCGTTAGGGTTTTCAAATTTCAACAACGACCCTCCAATTAACAAAGTTATGCAAAAACGGAGAAGATAGTCCCTTACCTGGAACAGTTTGATAGCCATGAGCGTAATAAGCAGGAGCAGGAGGGAGGTGATAAGGAGGAGCAGAAGGACCGTGATAAGGAGGAGCAGAAGGACCGTGATAAGGAGAAGCGGAAGAGTCGTGATAAAGAGGAGCAGAAGGGGCGGAGGCCCCCGGCGGTGGAACCGGCTGAGGGAATCCCATGGCAGGCTGTGAATAGTTCGGAACGCCTTGAAACGTCCCATAATACTGTTGCTGCGGTTGGCTCCGATCGCCAACCAATCCTTTACTCTTCCCTTCTTCAATCATCTTCAGAGAAATAACAGGAAACTAGGGTAAGGGTTTTCTCTTCTCGATCGAATAGTCTTCTTCTTCTTCTTCTTCTTCTCTGCAATTATTTCCTTTTTTTTATTAATTTCCTTTTTCCATTGGGACAAGCTACGTTATTGTTATTACAGTTGAAATCCATCGGATGGATCTTGCGCCAAGGCCTTTGGGCTGGACTATGGAGCGTGTCCGATATCTGATAAGACCAAGTTGCTGTAGTAGACAACTTGGGTGGGCCCACGTGGGACAAAAATGGATTAAAATGATACCCAGGCCCAGATGTTAGATCAATTATTGTTTATTGATGAGAGATGCCCAAATGAAAAATTATTAGATTATCAGGACTCCTGGACACGTGTCGAAATTTGAATGCACGATAGATGGGGCCGTTGTTGGATGAGTCCATGTAAGCCAAGAAAGGAAGAGATAGTGGTGGTGAATTGACTGGTCTGAAGATATTGTTGGGCCAGCCGGCCAGCCTTTCCGGTAGCATAGATTTTCCTACACTCATGTGGTCGAAGGGGCTTTTGAGCTCGGTGTGTGGAAGGAGTACAAATACAAAAATGTACAGTATAAATACATATAAAATAATACAAAATACAAGATTATATGTACTACTGTATTTCGTTTTATCGTACTTGTTTTTAATTTTTTCTATTTTTGTTAATTTATTTTATTTTTTTATTATTTTTTTAATTTTTTAAAAAAAATCATGTAAGGGTTGACCTTTGAAGGTTTTGGGACAAGTAGGCATGACTAGCCCAGGCCCATGTATTGGCACGACACCACCTACTAAAGCATGGGGCAGACCACAAAATCATGTTGTGTCGGCATGGTCCAGTTTACACCTCTAGGCTCAGTTTGGAAAGAGTTTAAATGCAAATATGCAGAGTATACTAGCGGAGTATACTAGCAAGAATGCAAATATGCATAATGTAATTGCAACCATTGCATTTGTTACATTAAAAAAGATAATAGTTTCTTAATAAGAAACTTGCAATTATAACTACTCAAGTCTTGAATACGACCATACAGTGATAGTTCTAAGTTTTATTTCATAGTTGTCCTTTGTTTCACATCAAGAACTCCCAGATGAATCGGACAGTTGGACATTCGACCTGAGAACCGTCTAGGCAATCGGTTCCGTTTTACCCCAAACCCGGTCCCTAGCCAAAAATCGTTGAATCAGTCAACAACCTGTTGATACGGGCAATCAAACCGTTGACCCGTCGATCCATTCAACAATCTTTGGCCATTTTTTATTTTTTAATTATATTTTTAATTTTCGTTGTCAAAACGGGTCATCCATTCGAACTGGATGGTCGAATCGTCAACCTAGAAACTAGTGTCCATAACGTTTCTGTTTCTAGGTTGTTTTTTCTAGATGTCAATAATTAAACGAAATAACTTTGTAGTCATAGTCATGGGAAGGGTGGACATTGCAAGGGATTCCAAAACCTTGAAAGATAAATCCAAAGTGACCTTAAACACAAAAAAAAAAATGACGGTAAATCCACCAAACTGGAAAGCCAAGGAAAAAAAATCTGAAAATTGAGTGCAAAATTCCGATTTGAGACGGAGCTAAGTAGACATGCAACCAAAGAAAGAGACAAAGCAGACCGTCTTGTAAGAAAAAAAAAAAAACATTGCACAAGAAAATCTAAAGAAAAAACAAAAGGAAAGAAATAAAATGGTGGTAAACCTTAGACCGCTTTGGAGGATCTTGAAGAAGAATACCAAACACACACACACACAAAAAAAAAAAAAACAAAAGAAGAAAATGAAAAGAAAGGAACGTACCACACACACTCGAATAAAGCCAACAATAGAAGAAACCCTTGAATAGTGAAAATTCAAAAGCATAAAAACCATGGTTTCCGAACCGTTGTTGACCCAAACGGATGGACATTTCGGCCTGGGAACCTAATAACTCTGTATTTTGATGCCTTAACGGGCAACATTTTAGAGTTACCTAAGCCTTAGAATAGTCAAAATGTGCCCTTTTCCCAGTTAAATTCAATATTGTGACCTCTGAGGATCCCTATGCAAATCTTTGGAAAATTGGGGAAGTTTCAAAGCTGAAATGTAGTTTTTGGGAAGTTGGTGTGAATTCCATATGGGGTGTTTCTGTAAAAAACTGAGCACAGAAGGGCACCTCCTATCTATTAAACCCAGAATAACGTCTCTCCTACTGTACTAGCATACTCCCCTCTCCTTAGCAAACCCTCGGGCGCCTCCCCTCTCATTCTTTTCACCTCTAACAAACCCTAGCCGCCCCTAACTGCTAAATCCTCACTTTCCATTCCTTTCAATCTCCACCCTCCATTCTAGGGCACCCTTTCAACCCTAGGGCGCCACCTAACTTCTATTCCCTACCATTCAGCCTTTAGCCACTAGATCTCAACCCTCTATTTCACTCTCTATCTCAATCATTCACTCTAAGATGCCATCCACTAATTTTAATCTCCACCTTTCAGCCCTAGGCGCCTAAATCTCCACCATCCAATCTTAGGAGTCCAAATCTTAGTTATACATAATATTGGGCGTCCTCTCCTTCTCTTCTTAGCCTTAGGATCACCTTAGAACAATCCTAACCCTCCATTCTAAACCCTAAGGCGCCCATATTTCTGCAAAAACCCAGTTGCCACCCCGTTCTTTCTCTCTAATCCCAGTTTTATCCACCCTTGTCTATAAAAAGGACCCCAAAGGCCTTGGAAAAGGGGTTGGTCAATTCACCCAGTTCACAAGGATAAGGTTTCTTGAGGAAGAGAAGGACGCCCAGATCTTGTCAGGAGGGGTTCCTACAAGTAGTCCAGCCAATCTGTAACTACTGCCACTGGATTTGTTCAGTCATCCTTTTCATTTTCTTTATTTTCTTTTATGTTATTTTTATTCCAGCAATCTTTTAGATTTAATTTCTGTTTGTTTGTGTGTTTTGCATATCTAAATTCGTCCAGTTCAAGGCTAAGGTGTCTCAAGGAGTTTGAGGGCTGAACGAAGAGAGAAAACTTGTATTTCGTCTTCCTGCACAGCTACCGTCACTGGATCCGAATTTTGGATCACTTTTATTTGTTTCTTTTGTTGATTTCAATGTTTTTTTTTTATTTCTGAACATTAATTATTGTCTTGTTTAATTCTGAACCTTTAATTTCAGCATTAATAAATTTTATTTTCTTATTTTCTACAAATCCTAGATCCATTTTCCTTTTATTTGTCCGGAACAAAACATAATAATTTTTATTCTTGCTTCCCTGTTAGTTCGACCCCTTCCTCACCACGTACTACGTTGTTTAAGGTTACATGAGGATTGGAAAAATTTATAAATCTCTAAACTTGTGTTCCGAAGTGGTTAACAACACTCTTCTGGCAACACCAAGTTTTTGGCGCCGTTGTCGGGGATTCAATGGAGAAAAATTTTTATTTGCTTTGTTCAAATATGTTACATTATATTTTTTATTTTCGTTTGATTACTTAATTTGTAATCTCATTTTAATTCTTGTTTTTCTTTGATTTTGCAGGACGTAATAGCAAAGGGTGGGGTACTAGAGCGTTGTCAGACTATTGAAGAAAAGAGAAGAGAAGAGAAATTGGGATTGTGATTCAAGTGTAGTTGTCCCAATTTATTCTTTTTTTTTATTTTCGAATTCTTTTTGGTAAAATAGGGTTTTCGAATTCTTAGTTAATTAATTTTTTTATAGATCTTATTTATTTATTTTTTTAGTATTATTTTTTTGTTTTGTTCTTAGATCTTTTTTTTTCTTTGTTTTAATTTCTTGAGCGAAATAGAATTTTTTTTAGGATTGTTAGGTTCTATTTTATTCTTTATTTTCAGATTAAAAACTCACTTTGTTTATTTTTTTATTTTATTTTTTTATTTATTGTCGCATATTCTTTATTTTTTGTTTATTCCTTAGAGTAGCAGTTTCTCTTGTTAGTATTTATTTTTGTAGTTATTAATTTTTTTAGCATAATTAATCCTTTTACTTTTGGTTTGTTGTAATTATTTGCTGCTTTATTTAATTGCCCCTTTAATTAATTAGTTATTTAATTGATTAATTAATTGTTGATTAGAAGATTATTCAAAATTTCGAATTTGAGTTTAAATTTCAAATTTGAATTTTAATTTTAATTTTAATTCGAATTCAAATTTGAATTTGAATTTAAATTTAAATTTCAAAATTAAATTTTAAATGTCAAATTTCAAAAAAAAATTAAAAAATTGTTAAAAAATTAAAAGAAAAAATTTAATTAATATTTTAAAATTTTTGCATTTGCATTAAAACAATTAGGGTTTGATATGTTCTAGAGCATGCACCATATAGGATTATTTAATTGCTGAAATTATCTTGTTAGTTGTTAATGTGTTAGGGTTTTTCATTTTTTTAATTGCTCTTTTTGGTGAATTAGTTTTTTTTATCATTTTATGTTAAATTGTTGAATTGCATATTAGAAATAACTGTTCCTGCATTGTTATTAGTTGCATTTAGTTTGTTTATTGTGTTTTTCGTTAATCCATTTAAGGGTAATCCAATTTAAATAAGATAAGGTGGGGATTTAATCACCCTTCCTTGGCCCAAAAGTCACCACCCTTTCATGTGTGGTTCACCCTAAACCTTAATTTAAAATTTGGATAGCAAGATCCTTTAGGGGGCCCACACATTTGGTTCAAAAGTGTGCTGAATCATAAGAAAGCTTGTGATTACTTTCCATAACCGGCAATTAGTGTCTAAGGAAAGAGGTTACACGGCTAAGCCTAAGCGGGTTTTGTGGTTACTTAATTAGGTCCTTGCAATAGCAAGGGGAGTCTCCCACATCCCCACCTCTTACTTGGCTAACTAAAGGAAGTGGTGTAATTCCAAGTGAACCTAAGAGGATTCACATTGGTTGAACCACTAGTTTAAGAAACCTTAAGTGAACCCGTAGGTCATTTGTTTGAATTACTTGCATTTTTTAAAATTTAAAAATTCAAATTTGAATTTAAATTTTAGGAATTTAAATTTCAAAATCTAAATTTGAATTTAAATTTCAAATTTCAAAAAAAATAATCAAATTTGAATTTAAATTTTAGGAATTTAAATTTCAAAATCTAAATTTCAAAAATTAAAACTTCAAATTTCAAAAAAAAAGAGAAAATAAAAAATTTAAAAAAATTTCAAATTTGAATTTAAATT